TCTATAGCCTTCATGTGATTAGGGATTTAAAATAGACATTGTCAGTTGACTGATGTGAAGTTCCAATGACTACAAAAAAAGAGAAATTTGGTTTTAGTGCTACAGAAGGCATACAGAGTAGAGATAAGGTGCCAAGCCAATGATCCTTTTATCCACGTCTCTATTTTCATTAGCCAATTGAAATGGAACAAGAAGAAGTATCATGGATGTGAGATCACAGCCAAAATGTTATTTCAAGAAATACTTAGAATTGATTTTAATGATGTACATCTGAGCTGCTTTAATTTGCAATAGACTGAAACTTGGCATGTTTCTCAGTCCAGATGTAATTAATTTAAATTCCTTCAGTTGTTTTTCAATTTAGAAATATGCATAGACATAAAATTTTTCATTTCTCACATTTTTTTCCTGCACATTTGTGAATTAAAATTAGCCAAATCATTAAGTAGTTTATTCTTAAATTGAATTAAGGACAGCTTTCATTTCTAATGACAAGAAATAAAAAAGTGTAATGATCAGGAGAATGAGAGATTTTCTTTTCTTGGGCAAGTGCATAGAGGTATTTGTGGCCTGGATGCAGGATTCAGCCTCTTCAGTGGGTTTCCCAAGTAACTTAACCACATCAAGTATATGTGAGCTTTTTAAAAAAGACTTTTATAATCATTTGGAAAGAGCGAGTCATATTCCACAATGACAGGTGTGCAGTTTTTCAAGAAATCCCCATTGGGTATTTCTGTTCTCATCTGTACCTTTTCTACAGCCTCTTGTGTGTTCCTCTTTATCTCTTCCCTTTTTCTTTCACCATTGATTTCTACCTTATTACATTCTCTATCTTCCATTCCTCTCTACCCTTGCTTTGTTCTTTGCAGGGCAGTTTGCTGAATATTCTTGATTATTTAATAATTCTGAGTGTTTCAACTTTTACCACCATTTACCTTCATAGGGCCTTTCTTCTGAATAAATGTGAGTTTCTCCATGGGAGGAGTTGCTGGTAAACAGGATTTTCTCTCTTTTTTACATACATAAATGTGCATATCGTACTACACACTGTATTTGAAATGTGTATCTTTAGGAGTTTGGCCTGGAGCATGATCTAAACACCAAAATGCTTAGGGTATCTTGAATGCATGAATCTGGTTGGGCTAAAATAATGGTGCTGTAAGTCCTTTGCCTTTCAGACACTGTGATGGCATCACAAAATGGCTGAGCAGAGCATGATCATGGTCCACAAGAATGATCAGCATGTAACTTTTGGCTTACAAGAACTCTAAGACGTTCCAGTAGCAATTATCAATGCTTTCAATTTATCACTGCCCTGATCAAAATCTATAAGAGATTACAATTGCAGTGGACTGTGTAAGGACATAAGCTTGTCTGGTAGGTATAGTGCTGTCTCATTGTGGCTTATGACAGTGCACGGAACAAAAAAAATTTGATTAATAAATGAATAATGCAGAATAAAATCTTCATTGGTCAGGACAAACTAGGTAATACAGCAATAACAAATAACTCTTGTCTCAATTGCTTAAAAAACAACTTCTTCTTCACTATGGGTTGGTAGGGGAAGAGGAATCATCTGCTCATTGTAGTCACTTAAGGATCCAAGCTGACAGTACAGCTTGTCCCTGCTCCAAAGGCAAAGAGAGATTTGAGAGTGTCGCTTCAACAATTAAATGCTCTAATCTTCACTTTGAAGCAATATCATCAGTTCTACTGACACCTCATTGACCAGAACTTTATGGACTACCTAAAGCTGAAAGGATCAGGAAGTGTGATCCTATCATCAGAAGATGGGAAGACTCAACTTCTCTGTATGGCATGAGGGTAGTGTTGCTTTGAATTGGGGGAAGGGACTAGACCTTACAGATCAATATCTGTTGAATCTTACATTATTAGGACAAATGATCATTAGCTGCAATGCAATAGCCTGCAAGGCATTTGGAAGGGGAAAATATGGAACTGATGTTGATATTCTTGTTTCATTACATACATGTAGAATAGCACTTAGGACAAGTCTTTCTTTCGGTATTTTTTTTTTTCTAATTTTCAACAATGCCTTTGTGGGTACCTTGAACATTATCCATTAGTTGGTAGATTACATTGAGTTAAAAAATAAAAGTAAATATCTTGGCCCTTAATTTAATCCCTAGAAATGAAAAGTATAATGGTTATGGTTTTTTTTTTTTTTGAGTTGGAATCTCACTCTGTCGCCCAGACTGGAGTGCAGTGGCACGCTCCCAGCCACCACAGCCTGAACTTGCTGGGCTCAGGCGATTTTCCCGCCTCAGTCTTTCAAGTAGCTGGAACTACAGGCATGTGCTACCGCACCCGGCTAGGTTACGGTTTTTTAAAGTGGTAGCCTTTATTAGCAAATGTGAATTCCTTTTAATTTAATTTAATTTAATATTTTTTTGAAAGCAGGATTTGTCGAGAGGACAGAAAAGTTCCCACAGAGGGAGAGGATCTGAAGGGGTTTCCCTCCTTTTAATTTTAATTCATTAGCAGAACAAAAACACAGCCAAAAACAGTTGTGGAGCAAAGACTATCTTACACACTTCCATATTTCAAATGACTAGCATAATATATGACTCTCAAATGAATGCATAATTTTTTGAGACTGTCTTAATGTTAAAGAAATAAGAAAATATAGTGATTAATTTTTTGATTAATTTTTCTGTGAAATATTTTATTTGAGTGTTTAAGAAATAGGTTTTTAAGCCAGATCATTTGGGTTTGAAACCTGTTATATCACTTAGAAGCTACGTAAACTTATATGAGTTCTTTAACCTTCCTGTCTCCTCTCATGTTCCCACCTGTAAAATGGAACAATAATGATGATGATGATACTACTACTACTACTACTACTACTACTAATACCTATCTTATAGGGTTGGTAAAAATAGTTAAATTACACCTTACAACAATGGACTCCAGTCTTTTTGGCATTAGGGACCAGTTTTGTGGAACACATCTTTTCCACAGACCAGGGTGGGGGGATGGTTTTGGGATGATTCAAGTGAATAACATATATTGTGCACTTTATTTCTATTATTTTTACATTGTAATATATAATGAAATAATTATACAACTCACTATTTTAAAAAAGAGGTATGGACAGAAGTGGTAAATAAAATAATGGGTGGGCCACGTGCAGACTAAAATAAGTGTCAGATTCTGAAAAAAAGCCTGCCACCAGATGCAGCTGTACAAGTGAAGTACATCAATTCACTTGCCAGTCACTGATAGGATTTTGATATGAGTCTGCAAACAATTGATTTATTATGGTCTCTGTGCAGTCAAACCTCACTGCTAATGTTAATCTGCATTTGTAGCAGCTCCCCATACTAGCATCACCACCTCAGCTCCACCTCAGATCAGCAGGCATTAGATTTCAGAGGAAGTGTGCAACCTAGATCCTGCGCATGCACAGTTCACAAGAGAGTTCACGCTCCTATGAGAATCTAATGTGGATGCTGACCTGCCAGGAAGCGGAACGCAGGTGATAATGTGAATGATGGGGACCAGCTGTAAATACAGATGAAGCTTCCCTCGTTTGTTTACTGTTCACCTCCTGCTGTGCAGCCCAGTTTCTAATAGGTCACAGATCAGTACCAATCTGTGGTCCAGCGCTTGGGGACCCCTCCCTGTCTTATAAGACATAAAATAGAATAGTGCTGGCACATGGTGAAGGTTTGATACACATTAGTTGCTGCTATTGCTGTTATTATTTTTTTCTTGATTCTGTACAGTCAGTGTAAACTCTCTGGACACACTCACTTTACAGTAACGAAGCACAGAAGTGAAACATGCAATACCAACTAGAACTTTGCCATTTTAAATGAATTTTTAACTGTAAGATTAATATTTACTATTACTTTGAAATTTATTTCATAGTAAGACTTAATAAACAGTTGTTATGTGACAAAGTGCTATTATGTGTACTTTGTGCACTGGGAAAGACCAATGGAAAAGACTGATGAGTCTGAAGCATTCCTCACTTTCTCACTGTGGGTAATCTGAGAAAACAGAATCGCTTCCAAAGATGCACTACAGCAGCGAACATTCTTTATGATGCTTCCAAAAGACAAGAGAATCCTGAGGAATTTTGAAAGGTTTTGAGGAAAAAAATAACTATGAGAATTACCTTGATTTTTAAAACAATTTGAAAGACTAGACAGCATGATCTATGATAGTGGGGATCCCATTTACAAGGTTTTCTGCTTTGTCCCCAAGCACCTAACACATAGTAGGTGCTTTATAAGTGATTTGTGAAATAACTGAAAGAGTATTCACAGAATTATTGCTAGCACAATCTATAAATGAAAACTAGGTCACCTTACATACATCACTGAAGCTCAGGTACAATTACACTATACTTCTGAAGAATAAAGGGTTCAAACCATAGTCCTAGAAACAGGATGTTGAACTTCTGAGTGTTTTCCCTCCCTACCTCAGCATGTTATTTGAAGGAAAGCAAAAAAAAAAAAAAAAAAGTAAAAAAGGAGCCTTGAACATATTTCTTCATCAAAATCCAGTCTTTGGTGTTGAAAACAACATATTTCTATTTATTAAATATGTTAAAAAAAAACTCAGAAGGTTTTTATTGGGCTTATGCATACAAACATCTACATTCTATTCCAGATCGTATTCTATTCTCAGATTTAACTGCTGAAACAACTAGCAGACTTAAATTGGTATAAACCTGACAATATTTTTGGTTAACTTACTGGTTAAAAGAACATTAAGAGGTAAGAAATGGCTCATATTTCACTTTCTCATTTACTGTTAAAAGTCTGACTCCCATTAGCACTATCAATATTTTGCAGAATGCTTTTTCCTTGTTTTTCCTTCCCTTTTTACTCTTTTGGCAAATGTAAAACCTCTCGCATAATATATTGGGCAATATAGTGTTAAAGCGCTGTTTGAGTTGTTGAAGAGTTAGTGGGTAGATATTACAATTCACTGTAGCTGTAACAGAGGGTAATGTCACTTTAAGACATGTGATACTTTAGAGAGGAGGGATGTATTGAAACAGACTACTGCTACTTACAGCACCGTATAGCAGCCCTGCTCCTACATTCTGCTGCCTTACTCTGCCCCGAATGCACTGGAGTGGGGATGGTCCATCGGCAACTATAAACTGATTCTCCTCAGAAAACTGCACATTATCTCCCCATCACTTCAAAGGTCTCGTCAGGCAGAGGTGACGCCAGGAGATGATTTAAAGGTGAAAATGACAAGGTTTCCACCCCTTAAACCTTGGCTTCTTTTCTGACAATACAGTCTGAATGAACCCGATGTCTTCTTTACTGTGGAAATAGGATCGGAAGAGAATAACATATTTTTTAATACTGAGAAAGAAGATTGTTGGGAAGCTCTTTAAAAAAAAAAATCTCAAATTGTGGCACAGATGGATTTTAAAAAGTGTTAGATTTTTCCAATGAACACTAATAGAGTACTCTGCTTTTGGCTGGATTTTTCAGGTAAGAATCCTCTTTAAGGGTTTAAGATTTCAGAAGGCAGATCTGAAACATATTCAGTCATATATACAGAACTAAGTAAGGCTGTATGTATTATTTGGGGAGAACACTTATTAACATTGAGACAACCTCCTGGTAAAGGAGCAAGTAGTGAGAGCAATATGCAGGAGGCTTGGAAGTAATGCTGAGAATGAAAGAAAGTTAAATGTAAAAGGTTAAAAATATTCCAAATGCTAAGTCACAGTAATCTTTTTGAGTGCTAATGTCTATGCAGGTAAAGAAATGAGCAGGAGAAAGCAGTCATTGAAAAACTGTTAAGTTTTGATTGTAGTAGGATTTTTTTCAAGTTTAAATTAATTCCTAGTGCATTTTAACTGCAATTCACAGGCACTAAATGCATGCCACAGTCACCTTTGTTTTGTCTTTCTATAATTTGCAGGGTATTCTAAAAAAAAGTCCCCCAATGCATTCATCTTTGCTATTTATCTCCACTGAAGAGAATGCATCTATGTTATCCTAATAGTTCTGAAAACAATAAGGCAAAGTGTGTTGTATAAAAAAGTAAACAGTGGGCAGTAAAACTAATTAGAAAGTGAGTGTTACATCTGAATCATAGACTAGGGCATGAATAGCACTATGGTGTTGAAAATAATGTTTTCCTACTTTGCACTTAATTATAGTTGTCATCATTTTTCTATTATAGTCCTAAAACCCTTTGTAAAGACTACATCTCTCTTCTAAAATCCCAATTATCCTGTATTATTACACACACACACACACACACACACACACACACACACATAATGTATATTTTTGCTTTCTGAACATCATAGTTTTTAAAAGAGTACCAATTTCCATGAATAAAGAAGCCACACTGGGAGGTCACTAGCACGTTTTCAATGTAAGTTGAAATTCTTGAAGGGTATGATTTGACAGTGGAGAAAAAAAGAAAGAAATCTTGTTCCAAAGCCCTCTCTACCTAAAAGAAAAGCGTACAGTTAGCTGGATTCGTGTATAGAAAATGCTTCCCTATCACTGGCTAAGTAAGGACGACGCTTCAAGTTTGATTAATTTGGCAATATGAAATGCAGCATAAGGTGTTGTTTGAGAAATTGGACAATATGTAGTGCAGTTGAGTCTTTGTAGCTTCTAAGATCCTTACAGGTGCAGGTAAGACTGTCAAAGTTTCAGCGCCTGAGAAAAGGTACATGTTCATCCATAAATACATATACCACCTGTATATGCATATTCATCAATGCTATGCAACAAATGTCACAATGGAATCTTAGGAGGCAAAGCAGTATTGTAAATTATGGTTCACTCTAGGATAGAAGCATAGATCTTGCATCTGAAACTCATTCTGGCTGAAGACAATTCCTTCTGATTTTAAGTCCAGCCAAAAAGATCGGTTCTATCAGGAGATTACAACATGCCTCTGAGAAATGATTACTTAGTTTAGAAGACAGCATTGCAATTAAAAATTCATGACAGTAGAATTAAAAAAAAAAAAAAACCCACTCTTTCCTTCCAGGCTTATGTCAGACTTGCAATGAAGTTAGAATGAACAGGAAGAGTCTGCAGCTTTCAGTGCCTGGGATAACTGTAGTTGAAAGATCATTGTGTAAAATAGGATTAAGTCAGCATACATTGTTTCACACTGCCTAGCTAATAGTCAAAGCCTTTATTTTTGTATTTTGGCAATTTTGTTTTGCAGAATCAAAAAAATAAATTTATGATTTTTCTGGAAAGGGCTTTCCCTCAATACCACTTCATGGCATGACCTCTGCTGGATCATTAATTCCAGCCAGAGAAGTAGCAAAGGAATATGACGTCTGAGATCTCCTTCCCCTCATCAGTGGGACTGACTGAGCTGGGGGCTTGAAGCCAGGGGTAACCTTTCCCATTGAATGTTCTCTTTAGAGAATGGCAATGGTCTCTGCGATGTCCTGGGTCCTGTATTTGTGGATAAGTGCTTGTGCGATGCTACTGTGCCATGGATCCCTTCAGCACACTTTCCAGCAGCACCACCTGCACAGACCAGGTAAGTCGGGAGCTGGCTCAGTGCAGCCTCTTCCAGTCTCCCTGATGCCTCTTAACAGATGGTTTAATGCAAGTGATAAAAAAGTGCGGCTGTGGGCAGCTAGCTTTTGTATTCCAAGGCATATTGTTGGCTGGATGCCTCGGGGTAAGGGGATTGTTCCACAACGTCTTGGAGGTATTTCTATTACTTTTTCAGAAAAGGTGGACTTCTCTGTCACTCAACCCCCTTCCAAACATCTTTAAAGGCAGAAGTCATTTGTTTTTAGCTGTGTTGGCCAATAGCAAAATATCCTGCTAAGGTGGACAACTTTTAAGACTTGAGGATTTTTTTTAGGGAGGCAAAATAGCATCTTTGCACGTCTATTCCTGAGATGCACCTTAATCTAGTACAGATTCTATAATCTCAGTGTATGTGGCTAAGGATTATGCGTGTGTGTGTGTGGGGGGGGGTGAGTCTCAAAACTAACTTTGAAAGTTGTCAGTGAAAAAGAAATGAAAAAGTGACTTACTATTTCTTGTCTGGCTTAATTCGCCTCCTTTCCTTCCTCCCTTCCTTCACTTTCTGTTCTTCTAGTATGTTCATTGGCTATTTTTTCTCGCTTTTGGCAGTTTCGGGGACAAGGTCCCTCCCACCTGAATTTTTTCTTTTTTTCCTTTTATTGAATTTTCAGTTTCGGACGAGTTTTTCTTTCTTCGTCTTTCTGTTCAAAATGTATTTCTCAGCCTTCCAGGGTCTCACTCTTCGATCTGGATTTTTCTCTCCGTTGCCTCTTCAGCTTCGTCTTTACAGTCCGCCCTAACTCGATTGCCCTTACCTTCCCCGGTTCTCGAAAAAGATTTCCTTCCATTTTCTGTCCCCTTCCCTTCCCCCGACGGTCAAGTTCCGTCTCTGGGGACCAGTTGCGCGCCCAAGTTTCTGATCCTCAGTTCGGAAGTGCTCCCAGCCCTCCAACCCCATCTCCAATTCCCTTCAGAGGCCTCCTCCCACTCGTCGAGCTTGCTCCAGCTGCGAGGTCGTCCAGCGTCTACGCCCTTGCATCTTGCCTGGCTCCGCAGCCGGCCTGGACGCCGGTCCTGGTTCCCCGGCTCGGTCCTCCAGCGGCACCTTCCCGGGCGCCGCCTGCTGCTTCCTGGGGCTCGGCTTCCCGGTTGGGGGGCGGCTAGGCAGAACGCGGGTGCAGCCCCGGATCCTCCCGCGCGCCCGCGCGGAGCTGCTGGCGAGCGTGCAAGGCGGTCGGTGCCGGAGCCCGGGCCTCCCAGATGGGTGGGGGGCGCCCTGTGATTGGGGCCGAGACCGGGGGCCGCCTTCGGGCCCAGCCACCTTCCTTCCTCACGCCCGGGGTCGGGAGGGAAGGCGAGGGGGCGCTGGTGCCCCTGCAGGTGGGCATGGAAACACGCTGCCTCCGCGGCGCGCTTGCATTTCTGCCTCCTGTGTCCGGAGCCTGGCGTGGGAATCGCCAGACGCGGAAGCTTCAGTGTCGAGGTGCCGGGAAAACAAACATGGATTTGGGGTTCCCGACGTTACCTCCAATCACTTAATCACATTCTGTTCCGGCAAAAACCTTTTTGACTTGTCACATGCAAATAATGCGGGAAATCTGCACTCCTTGTAATGATCAGCAATAGGAATTTATAATACAAACAACTATTACTTGTGTTTTAGTCATGGCTTTCAGGGTTAATTCACATGGCCTGGTTTAACCCTTATGTAAGCAGATGTCATTTCCCCCCTTTTGCCTGGGAAACGGAAGTTCTGAGGGGTTGGGTGACTTGTCTGAGGTCACACAGCGAATAGCTGCCTCTGGAAGTCAGTCAGTTCGGTCTGATTGCACCGCAAGAGCCGGTATCCCCAGAAGGGAAAACGCCTTTTGGTGCCCAGAGTAACCGTGCCATATAGCTTCTCGGAGGAGATGTGAGCCTCTTCCGATAATTTGTGGAAACTTGAATTATGTCAAGTTGAACAGCAAACTCATTTTGGGATGTGGCCATGGCAGAATTGGTGAGTGGCACGTGGTGGTGGTGATGGGGGGGGGG